TTTTCAGCACTCCTATTCAACATGATACTAGAAGTCCTAGCCAGAGCAATCAGGCAAGAGAAACAAATAAAAGACATCCAAATTGGGAAAGAAGTCAGATTGTCCCTCTTAGTTGATGACATGATTTTATATCTAAAAGAAACGTATAGAATTCACCAATGGAACTCTTATATCTGATAAATAAATTTGGTAAAGTTACAGGACACAAAATCAACATATAAAAATCAGTAGCCTTTCTATACACCAATGTTGAAATCACTACAAAAAAAAAATTAAGAAGGCAGTCCCACTTATAATAGCTACCCCAAAAAAATACTCAGGAATAAATCTAACCAAGGAGGTGAAAGATTTCTACAAGGAAAACTATAACATTATTTTTCATAGAAATAGAAAAAAGAATTCAAAAATATGCATGGAACCGAAAAAAGAACCCATGCAGCCAAAGCAATCCTGAGCAAAAAGAACAAAGCTGGAGACATCACCCTACCTGACTTGAAAATATATTACAAGGCTATAGTAAGAAAAATGGCATGATATTTGTATAAAAACATACATAGACTAATACAGCAGAATAAAGAATCCAAATATAAATCCATGTATTTATAGCCAGCTGATTTTCGACAAAGGCATCAAGAACATACACCAGGAAAAGCACACTTTAATAAATTGTGCTGGCAAAATTGGAGTCTGTATGTAGAAAAATGAAACTGAATCCCTATCTCTCACCATGTACAAAAATCAACTCATGATGGATTAAAAGCTTAAATGTAAGACTTTAATCTATAGAACTACTAGAAGAAAAAGTAGGGACAACACTTTAGGACATTGGTCTATGCAAAAATTTTGTGGTGAAGACTTGAAGAGCAGACAACAAAACCAAAAATACCTGGGACTATATTAAGCTAAAAAGCTTCTGCACAACAAAAGGAATAACAGAGTGAAGAGACAGCCTGTTAAATGGAAGAAAATATTTTCAAACTATTCATCCAACAAGAGACTACTATTCAAAATAGACAAGGAACTCAACTCAATAATAAATACTTCAATTAAGAAGACATTTCTAAAAAGAAGACCTACAGATGGCCAAAAAGTATATGGAAAAATGCTCAACATCGCAAATCATCAGGGAAATGCAAATCAAGACTACATGAGATATCCCCTCCCCCCGGTTAGAATGGTTGTGATTAAAAAGACAAAAAATAGCAGTTGTTGGTGAGGATGCAGAGAATGGGAAGCTCTTATACACCATTGGAGGGAATGTAAATTAGTACAGCCACTATGAAAATCAGTGTGGAGATTTCTCAAAAAATTAAAACTAGAACTACCATATGATCCAGTCATTCCACTAATGGGTATTTATCCAAAGGAAAGGTAATTAGTATATCAAAAGGATACCTGCATGTTGTATGTTGATTGCAGCACTATTCACAGTAGCTGATATGGAATCGACTTAAGTGTCCATCAGTGGGAAATTTGATAATATAAATGTGGAATACTTAGTCCATAAAAAGGAGTGAAATTCTATCATTTGCAGCAACATGGATGGAACTGGAGGTCAGTATGTTAGGTGAAATAAGTCAGGCACAGAAAGACAAATATCACATATTATCACTCTTATGTGGGAGCTAAGAAAGTTGTTCTTATGGAGGTAGAGAATAGAGTGATAGATATCAGAGCCTGGGAAGGGTGTGTGGTTAGGAGTTGAGGGTAAAGGGATATTGGTCAATGGGTAGGTACAAACCTACAGTTAGATTAAAACTTACGTTTTAATGTTTGATAGCAGAGTAAGGTGACTATAGTTAGCAATACGGTATATTTCAAAGTAGCTGGAAGAGAGAACTTGAAATGTTCCTAACACATAGAAATCATAAATAGGCAAGGAGATAGATACACCAAATACTCTGATTTGATCATCACACATTCTATACATTCAACAAAATATCATCTGTATCCCATAAGTGTGTAAAATATTATGATTCAATAAAAATGTGCCTCAGCCTCTGAAATGCCTCTTTGGTTTGGTCTCCACTTAAAAAAAGACATTATTTTTCAAACTTTATAGTTTATCAAAACTAATGGAATTCATGTACTTTACAGCCTAATGGACTCATAATGCATGATTACACAACTTCAGAACCCATTTTGTTAAATGAAGTGGTGACATTTTATGCACTATTAAGCCAACTAGAATAATTTTCTTGCTCTTAGCCATAACTTCTCTGTGTCCTTATTGAAAAAATTCTGGGACGTGTTATAGAAGGTTTTGATAGGAGAGAATGTTTCTAAAGATAAGCAGAAACGGCCTTTTTCCATTATTCCATCAAGAAAAATAAGATAGACAAAGCTCATGAAATGGGAAAGTGGTTGAAATGCCCTAGTTTGTATTATAATGCTTTGAATTATATTTATCTCATAATAGTTCTGTTGGGAAAGTGAATTTTAAAATTACTGCCTTAAAAGGCCTTACCAGTTATAAGAGCATGTGTATGTGTATGTATAAAATAAAGCATTAAGAACTATACTTTCAGCATTTCATATTTTTGTCATGTATTTAAAGCAGTTCAGGAAGATAATCCTTGTGATTTTACAATATGAACAATTTTATTTCTGTTACTCTTTATGCAATAAACTGCCTAGAAGACTAGAAAAGTAGGTTTCTGTATCCTAGAAGGATAACCATAATATAAAACTAACCTGTGTTATATAAGGTACTGTCCTGGGCCTTGACAGTACATTATATAATGCAGGTTAGTTTTATATTATATGTTGACAATTTTTCCACATTCCTTGCTTTGCAAATCTGCTTGAAACTGTGTAACTTCCCTCCCCAACCCCTGCTGAATATATGTGAATTATTAAAAGTAGAAGCAAGCCATAAGAAAGGATATAAAAAAGTATCAATGATTCCACCCACTCACACTACTGTTATTGACACTTTTGATGGTCTTGCTTTTCAGATCCATTTATATACACATGTAAACTCCTAAATATATGACATTTTTTTCCACAAAAAATATTTTTTCACTCTGCTTTTTTCATTTAACACGTTCCTCTGTCAGTACATATATTTCTGAATGGTTGCATTTTGTTGTATGTGTTCACTCTATTTACACTGTTCTCCAGCATTTATCATTTAGGCTGTTTCCAATTTTGTTTCTATTAAAACAGAATTGGTGTAAACGACCTTATAGCTAAATTTTCATTCCTTTATTCAACAAGTATTCATTAGGTACCTACTGTATGTCAGTCACTGTATTTGGTTTTAGGTTACAACAGTGAGCACTACTGTTAGAGTGATTACTCACATGGAATGTAAATTCTAGCAGGAGAGTAGATATTAACCAAATAATTGTACTGCTGTTTTTGTAGTTTATAACTAAAACGGATACTATGAAAGAAAGGAATACTGTACTATGAGAGAATACAGCGAAGGACACTGATGGTCTAGGGAAGGCATTATTGAGGAAACGCTGCTTGAGCTGTTGGTCAACTAGTTGAAAGAGTTTGAAGGGGCCACAGGGGAAGGTTTTAGAGAGAGAGAGAGATTATTCCAGACAGAGTGGAAATTACTGTTGTAAAGACCCTGTGACAGAAGGGATTATGGCTTTAATTTAAGAAATTAAAAGAAAGGCAGTACAGCCTAAGCACTGAAAGCAGTGGTGTTAAACATGACTGGAGAGGTATTCAGAAGCCATACACCAAGCAGAGCCTTATAAGCTAAGATTTTAGTTTTTATCTCAAAAATGATAGGATACTGCTTAAGGGTTTTAAGCTGGAAGGGAAATCTGATTGCAGGGTGAACTTACTAGATAAGGAACAAAGTAGATGCAGGGAGATCAGTTAGGAGATTGTTGCAGTAGTTTATGCGATAATTGATGATAGATTATGGTTAGAAATGGAAAGGAATACATTCAAGAGATTTTTAGGAGATAAAATCGATTCAACTTACAGCATATTTTTAAGGTTTTTTTTTTTTTGACATAAATTCCCAGAAGTAGAGTTCTTGGCACAAAAGGGCAAAATTATTTTAAAAGCTTGTAATAGATAGCAGATTGCTCTCCAGAAAGATTATTTACAGTGCATTCTCCATTAACAGTATATTAGAGTGCTCATTTCCATATGCCCTCAGCAGTAATAAGCAGTATCTTTTTTTTTTACTTTTTTCTTTTTATTTTCAGCGTTTTTTGAGTATGTTTTATTCTTTTTAATATCTTTTCAAGAAATCAAGTTAATATTTTAATTTTTAAATGGGGATTGTTTTGCCAACCATAATAATATAGTAGTTTTAGAATATATATATATTGCTCTCCTTAGTTTGGTTTTAGAAAGCATGGTTTTGATTCTTAATATTCTGCCTCTAAAGCTGAAAGTAAAGCAAAATGATTTAATGGGAATGTTGCCTCAGGAGCATGGGACAAAGAAAAAATCTGAGATGGATTTAGATCAGATTAAGTATTATTGGAAAATTGTATTTGTGTGGAAATTTTCAGTAACCCAACCTTGTTTGGTATAGTCAATACCAAGGCCTCTACTTTCCTAAAAAGGAGTATTGCAATTCTGCTTTACCATGAGTTTAGACTTGGGACTCCAAAATATTTTAAATAAAAAACTGACAAATAGTCAAAATATATATAAAGTTTTGACTACAAAAATGGAAATATGGAAATATCTTTTGAATTTTCTGTAGTGTTTTGTAGCTTAATAAATAAATGTATAATACATGTCCCTTCATCACCACTAAATCACTTTTTTGACAATATGAGAGTGGCTAAAATTGAAAGACATTTAAGAGAAATGAGTAATTTTTTTAAAGTAATTGAGATACTTCATTTTTATCCAAAATATTTTGAATTGGAAAGATATTAGCCTTAGATTCAGAATAAAAGTTATATTTGTAATGTTTTCATGTATTTCTCAAATATATAAATTCTACATTATTGAATTATGGTTATATTTGAAATGATATGTTTTTCACTGCTTTGTTTTCTGTCTTTCAATAGCTAAAAGATGTTGATACTCGGAAAATCATTAAAGCAATGCTTTCTTATGTGTGGCCCAATGACAGGCCAGATCTACGAGCTAGAGTTGCCATTTCCCTGGGATTTTTGGGTGGTGCAAAGGTAAGGAATTATGCATTGTTTGGTTGCTCTAACTAAGAAATAATACATTTTCTAGTCATGAACCCTGGACCTGATATAAATCACTTTTGGGGTAGCATGACCAACTTTTAGGACCCTCATTTAGTTTACATAATTATTTTATACAGTCATTAGAAATGATACGGTAATGTCCTGTTTATCTCTCAATCAGACTTCTGATAGAGTCAATAGAATCCGCTCCTGAAGTCGTTGTAAGATATAGGAACATTGATTGTAACAAAGCATAAGAACCTTTATAAAAGAAGCTTTTCAGAGCCTCTTTGGCTCTTAATATGTATTTTTGCTAAGCTTGGTTCCCAGATCCCAGTAAATTGAAAAGAGGATGAAGGTATTTAGGAACATTGATAGCTATAAGTAGTAAGTAACAGTTTAATATCAAGAGTAAAGCTAAAAAACAAAACAAAACAAACAAAAAAAAACCAGCCACAAAACCTAATTGTTTTGGTATGTTCAGTATAGGAGCCCCCTGCATTTCAGCAGCCTTTTCAGTTGTACTGTAAAGCAAAGTTATAATAATGACCTTGAGTTTTCAAGAAAATAAAACCTTGTTTCCAATTTACTCAGTTTTTTTTTTTTTTTTTTTTTTTTTTTTGAGACAGAGTCTCGCTCTGTCACCCAGGCTGGAGTACAGTGGCACAACCTTGGCTCACTGCAATCTCTGCCTCCCAGGTTCAAGCTATTCTCCTGCTTCAGCCTCCAGAGTAGCTGGGATTACAGGCAAGCGTGCGCCACCATGCCCAGCTAATTTTTGTATTTTTAGTGGAGACAGCATTTCACCATGTTGGCCAGGTTGGTGTCAAACTCCTGACCTCCTGCCTTGGCCTCCCAATGTGCTGGGATTACAGGCATGAGCTACTGCATCCCACCCCCAATTTACTCAGATTTTGAAAGTCAGGGAAGTATACATTTATAGGTATGCTGTATTGTCAATATAAAGTCTCTGGAATCAGACTGCTTGGGCTTTGCCACTTACTAACCTTGTAAGCTTAAGCAAGCTGTTTAGGCTCTGTGCCTCAGTTTCCCCATTTGTAAAATAGGGTTGTTATAAGGATTAAATAAGTTAACATATAAAAGACTTATAACAGTGCTTGGCAGGTAGTAAAATACAAGTATTAAAAATAAATTTCCAAAAATATGGTTAAAAGTGTTTTTTAAAAATGAGTATAAAGGAGGTTTGGCTTTAATTTGGCTACTTCTCTTATATATAAGGATTAATATTTTATTTTAAAAAACAGTTCTTACCTCTTATTTTTTTCCCTATATCATGTATAATCTCCTTTATTCGTTCATTCTTTTCCCTACCCTAAAACTATTGAGAACTTACACAAACTGCCGTTCGTGGCATTGCAGAGTATTCAAATATGACCAAAGCAAATTTCTTTCCTCAAACCATATGGGATAAGGCAAGCTTTATTTTATTGCCATAGTAAAAGGTAAGTCATAAATGATTTTAAAAAGTACCATTCGGGTATTGTGGGATTTCAGAGGAGAGTTTGGAACCACTATCATGGGGATTTAGGAAAGATTTCACAGAGGAGATGACATCTGAGATAGACCTTGACTCCGTCTACCCTAGTGCACAGTATCTCTTGTGTTTTCCTCCATATTACAATTTCTACTACCACTTTAGTACAAATTGCTATTGCTTCTTACCTAGACTATTGCATGAGCCTTATAACTGGTCAGTAAACATTTGCTGAATGAATATGTGAAATAAATGATATCCCTACTTTAGGTCTATTGATTGATGAGTAGGATTATTACAGGTGTAGGAATAACATGAAAAATGGCCTAGTTGTGAAAGGACATAGTATGTGTAGAGAAGTGAATAGTCCATCTTGGCTTCAGTGAGGGGAAGATGTTTCAGAGAATTTGGAAATAAGCTTGGAAAGACAGAGCTCCTAAATGTGAAATATTGTGACTGTGAAACAGAAAAATGTAATTATGTGGGAAGTAGGAACCTGTCTTTTGAATAGACAAGTAATAAGGTTAGAGCTGTGTTTTAGGAAATTTATCTGGCCATGCGTAAAAGATGAATTCAAGTAATGATAGACCTAAAATAGGGAAGCCATTTATTTCACACATTCATTTAGCAAATGTTTACCGACCAGTATAAGGCTCATGTAATAGTCTAGATAAGAAGTAATAGCAATTTGTACTGAATCGGTAGTGGAAATCGTAATATGGAGGAAAAAACAAGCAATACTGTGCAGTAGGGGAGATAGAGTCAACAATACTTAGCAATGGATCAACTATTACAAGTTTAAAAAAAAAGATAGGATTCCAGGATGAGAGAATAAGAATGCCTTTAACACCTGGGTGCAGTGACTCACGCCTGTAATCCCAGCACTTTGGGAGGCCAAGGTGGGTAGATCACTTGAGGTCAGGAGTTCGAGACCAGCCTGGCCAATGTATTGAAACCCCATCTCTACCAAAAATACAAAAAATTGGCTGGCCGTGGTGGTGGGCTCCTGTAGTCCCAGCTAGTCGGGAGGCTGAGGCAGAAGAATCACTTGAACCCGGGAGGCGGAGGTTGCAGTGAGCAGAGATTGCACCACTGCATTCCAGCCTGGGTTACAGAGCATGACACTGTCTCAAAAAAAACCCAAAAAACAAAAGAATGCCTTTTACAGAAGTGGGTATAAGTCAGAAGATCTTGTTTGAGGAAAAGGAAGATCTTGGTTTTAGACATGTTACGTTTTAGGTACTAGCAGAGCATCCAGTTAGAAATATTTAGCTGGTAATACAAAATGTGAAACAATCTCAGGAAGGAGTCCAAGTCTAAAGAGGTGACAGCTGAAACAATGCAAATTGGTAAGTACACCAAGGAAAAGAACACAAATAGAAGGAAATAGAAGACAACTAGGGACAGTACCTTCGGTTAATGTGTTCCTCTAGGAAAATAAATAGAGGAAACTGGGAAGGAGTGACTGAAGAGTTAAGAGTAAAGCCAAAATAATTCACAATCAAACTCCATTTTCTTGCCTCCTTTCTCATCTGAAATATCTGTTGAGTACTCTCCCAGTGGATCTTACCCATTCATGGGGAGAGTACTTAAGATGCTGAGCAACAGATCAAGAACCCATTTTTTGTTATATTTGTTTAGGCTGAACAGAGAGAACAATATTACAAATGTAATTTTAGTAGGTATTGTTGAAAAATTTTAACCCTTATGTTCATTTTTAGCATAGTACTGGTTGCTGAATTGTCTTTTACATACAAATTACCTAAGAATAAAGATGATTCTGAGCTCATATGCTCCTTTATTAGTTGAATGCAAGTACTTTGCTGACAAGTTAAAGGCAGATTGTTTTCTAGACTTTCTTTTTAATTGAAGAGAACAGATTAAAACATGACTAATTAAGCTAGTCAGAGTTGGGAGCCTTAAGTAATGACATTTGTATTAGAATTCATTTTTAGAGTGAGTTTCAGTCCTTCAAAATACAGATTTCTGTTGCTTAGTGACAGGTCAATATCAGGGTGTGAAATCTAGATCTAAACTAACTTTCTTAATGACTAAAATATTTTTAGAAGGTTAATATTTGGTTTTTTAATCAACAAATACTGATTGCCCATAAGATGGAAAGTACTGTACTAAACTCATGTAAACTGATTGCAAATAAACAGAAGTGAATATAGAGAAATCCTCAGAAAGTATGTTTGATTTCTTTTGAATCAGGAGAAGGAAGAAATTGCCAGATGTTGTGATGAGTGTCTGCTAGTACTTTCAAAGCATATAGAACACAATTTTCTTTTTACAAAACAGAAACTAGATCATAGAATAACTTCAGTCATGCAGAACATAGTAGCACCATTTGGCCATTCCAAAAAGCATTTGTACAGCTTTGTGGACTGTCCTGTTTAAAAGTGCTTGCTCTTACAAACATTTAAAAAGTGATCATTGTTTATTCTTGAGTAGTATTGCAGGTGTGTTTTATAATTGGTGTGCAAAGATGGATTGTTATCCCCTTTAATCCTTGGCTTCCTGTTTTTCATCAAACCTGAATATATGCTTTGACATATAAACACCTTGGACCAATCTAGGCCTCTTTATACTTTGATCTTTCCTACTTCCTCCACATATTCTGGGATTTTAGTGCAGCGTTCAAGAATCTTCTCAGCTCTAAATGCTACCCTGCCGTCTTCATGGTTGTAATGGTATCATAACTAGGCATGAAGCGTCCTTGAGAAAGAACAAAAAAAGGATTGTCAAGTAAGAAGAAAATAGGAGGAAGATTTCATTCCTAGTGTATGGGAGCATAGCATACCTTCTGCTTGCTTATTTATTTTTTAATCCTCTTTTGATTCTGAGGGTCTTAAGGCTATCATTGTCTCCAGCAAAAATTTTAAAGATAAACTGTATTATGTAGAGATGCTTTGGAGCCCAGAGTATACTAAGAGAGTGTATTGGTATTCCTTCTAGGAGAGTTGCAGCAATTCTATTTTAATGTGTTTGGGTTCTATATATTTTAGGGGTTCTGCTACCAAGAAAAACAAAAACAAAATGTCATTTGTGTTCATTCCTTAAATTCCTACAAATCGTATGTGATGTATTTTCTTACCATCTATACATATATCATAGGAGTATCATATCGTTATTAATCTGGGGACTTTGAGGCCTTCTAAGGGTTTTTTTTCTTTCTATTAGTATTTTACATACAACCATGCCAGGATTTAAGGAAAATATAAAACACAGTTATTGAAATCATTTCATTTTATAAAATGTTATCTTTCATATTACCAAAAAAATTTCTTCATCTTCTCTAACCACTGCCATCTTGGAAACCACTTAGTCGACAGAAAAACTGACGGAAAAGGAAATTCAAGTATCAAGTGCAAAAATAATCTATCTTTACAATTATAATACTTTCAAGAAAGCGTACAGTATATAAAAATAAATACTCTTTTTCTTCAGAAATGTATCCATTATATAAAGTATAACAGGTAATATATATAATGAG